GAGCTCCGTGTTGCTCCCAGCGGAATCCCCCGCGCTTCCTGCGGCCATGGCCGATGATACTAGTAGGATAGGTCATCTGGCTACCGCGAGCGCGACTCAACTCGCCGACATCGTCCGATGATGGTGCCTCAAAGTCAGCCTTCGGAGGCTATCGTGGGGTCGAGCCGGCAGTAGCCGTGACATGTGGTTCCACCACCCCTCGTAGGCTTTGCCTCTGACCGCCACCGTTCCCAGGCTGCCTAATGGGGTGGAAAGGAAGGCTGGGCGAGCGTATAGAAGCGTGCTCGACCTCGTCGTGGCAACCTGTACGGCAGCGCTGGCAGGCGCGATGAGCGTCGTGCCACTTGACCCAAGACGGGTCGCAGGCGTCGTACCGAGCGTGTCGAGACCGTGTCCTGATGTGATCTGCACGGGTGAGTCACGTCGGCGTCAAAGTAGCGACGTGCGACCTGTCAGAGCTTGATCTCCGATCTCAGCGGCGTCGAGTCGTCTCCGGCGGCGACGATTTGGTACATCTCCAGGACGCGCAGAAGCAGCTGCGAGGGCCCAAGGGATAGAGCTACCAGAGTCACCCACTCATTTGTGAAGCCACCCCCGCGACCAGCCCCGCAACACCCGCGCTGAACACAGGGCCGCACCTCTGCGTGAGGTGATATGGTTGCGGTTGGTTGTCTCTTGTCTGGCGCGCCGCACCCGCAGCGCGCAGTGGAAGAAAAGTTTATCAGTCTATGTTCACCTTCTGGTGTCCATTGCCGATGTGCGCGGGTTGAGATCCCTACTAGGATCCCTACTCCGGCACATACACATGCGAATACGGCTTTATCTCTCGCGTACACGTCGCGACACACCAGCGTTGTCATGGTCAACGACAACGTGGCTCGTGGCACAGTGGCTCGTGCGTCGTGGGTGTGTATGTGGCAGTGCATGTGCATGTAGCTAGGCAATGTGTCAGAGCTCAGACCGCCCCTAGTACACGTTCACGCGCGCGCTCGGCACGGATCCGCCCCGACGCCCGAGTCCCTCGCCGAGACCCGAGCTGTGCCGAGACGCGAGAGACACATCCGTCGGGGCAATAAAACGGAAAAGGGGTCGGAACACATGGCTGCCGTGACCCGTGTTGTGACGCTGATTTGTGATTAGCTGTGTGCTCGCACATGTTCATGTTGTTGTTGTTGTAAACAAACGGAGATGGAGAACAAGGCGCGCATGTTGTGGGAAAATGATGTGTGACCTTACCCACCGCCTCTCGCCTGGCGCTGCCGCAGCGGGGCGCGAGCACCCGCTCTCTCGGCTCGGGCGCGCTCCTGCCGCCGCCGGAGCGGTTGGGCATTCGGAGTGCGCCGTCATATCTGCAGCACCAGAGCACACGTCGGACACACGGGCAGGGGGTGGTCACACGACGGGCGTGCGCCAAGCACGCCCGGCTCAGGCGGCGGCCTCGACCGGCAACGCGTCGAGGGCGGCGGCGATCTCGCCCTCGAACGAGAGGGGAGACTGCTGGGGCCCGAAGCGGCTGATGACCTCGCCCTGAGCGGTGGGGTTAGGGGCGGGGTAGGGAGGCAGCACCACCGCGGCAACACGGCGAGCAAACGAGGCCAACCAATGTCGCGGGTGGGGCGGAGGCGGCGAGAGCGCGGAGGCGGTGGCGGCAGTGGCGGCGGCGGCAGTGGCGGCGGCTGTGGCGGCGGTGGGCGGCGACGGCGGAGAGTGGAGGCGGGCGGGGTGGGCAGTGAGGCGCCTCGGTCCCCACTAAGAACTTCGCAAAATTCCACTTGATGTCGGCGCCCAGCGGGAAGGGGTCCGACTTTTCCGCCTATGGGGTGATGAGGCATGCGACTGAGGGAAGCGGCGGCGCGGAGCAGGCGGCGGCGAGCGGAACAGGGAAGTGGGGGGCAACGGTAGCAGTGGGGCGGGAGGCAGTGGTTG